AGATGCTAACTCAATATAATGAGATGCTAACTCAATATAATGAGATGCTAACTCAATATAATGAGATGCTAACTCAATATAATGAGATGCTAACTCAATATAATGAGACGCTAACTCAATATAATGAGATGCTAACTCAATATAATGAAATAATATCTTATTATAATGAGATAGTAACTCAATATAATGAGATACTATTTCATTATAATGAGATATTTTTTTTTTTTTTTTACAGTGGCGGAAACGGGCTTCCATAAGTTTCACCAAAAAATAAAGGAGCAACATAAAACCAACCAAAATGATGGATGTGATCTAAGGATTCACCACTTTGCTGAAACGCACCACATAGAGCATGTTTCTATAAACCAAAGTTGACATGTATTGCACGCCTATAAAGTTCCCACGGAGATGTGCTCACTAGGTTTAGCTGGTAATTTAAACTTTACTAGCAATCAACACTCAGCAAGTCTGAGTTCTTGAACACATTTAATTGAGTGTCTCTGAGTTGTTAATTCGCAGGACAATCTGCCATCTCTGCAGTGTTGGAAGGGGATCTCCAAATATTTGTTTTTTCTGCTGTCAGCTTCTCTTTACCTAAAGGAACCCTGCTGTAAAGGCAGAGAAGGACAGATGAACAGTTTGCATGAAGCTTTTGTCGAATTAAGCAGCAGAAAGATCCCAGATATCACAGAATCAATGATGAGCTTAGCAAAAATCAAAAATACGTAGAATGAAGTGTAAAAGCAGAAAGAGTTTAACTTGGGGTCTACTGAGATCAACGGTCTTTAGTTTATGATAACATTTTTGTGGGGTTTTTTTTTTTCAAAATATTTGATAGCAAAACTAATTATTTAAAGAGCCTGACTGAGATTGGTCACATTTTCAGACCTCTTCATGCAGCAGCGCTGTGATATCAGAGACAGTCAGTACTCTCCTACAATGCTAACAGACTAAGACAATAAGCTGCTGCTGTAACTGTTAACTTCAGCTGACATGATGGGTTCATTAAAAAAAACATGTTTGACTCTTTTTAGCCGACCAACAAAAGCATATTTCAAAGGAACTTTCCCTCTTAGGCCGACTGACGGAGAAAAAAATGCTTTGGGTGCTTCATGCTACCTGTGCTAATGCTAAAAGCTAACACCTAGACACTGATGTTTGAGAGAAAATTAAAAAGGTCAGTAAAGCTCCCGCTTCTCCAACACTGATGTAGTAAACTTTTAGAGATAAGCTAATGCTACATGTTTACAGATTAGCTACGACAAAATGATCTGGATCAATGCTTAGAGACGCTAGATTGGTGCGCAGTCCTGAGCATGGTTTAAGCTCACTAACAGACCAGAAAAATTGGAAACCTTAATGCACCCAGCAGTTTATCAATTATAAATCATTATTATTTTTAAATGAGGATTGAAATATACCTTTCTATTTTGCCCTAATTAAGGAAGTCAAAACATGTGCATTTTGTAAGGAAACTTTGATTTTTTGATTTCAACTAAACACAACCCTCTTTTTTCATCATTTTAGCACTGGGATGACATTTTAGCCTTAATATTCCAAATCTAAAGTACTGCTATACCTTCTCCATCTTCAGGAGCCTCCTCTTCGTTGCAGCTGCCTCCTGAGCCTTCGTTCTCCTCCTCCTCCGCTGGATACTGAGCGCTGGCCTCTTCGTTCTGCGAGGCTTTTCCCCTCCGACGGGCCTTTCGCTCTTTCTCCTGAGTTAAAACACAAACATGGTTCACAGGAAAGCCCAGGAGACACAGCAAAGCACAAGCGTCAGCATTATGTGAAGCAGGTAAGACTCGCTTACTGATTTCATTTTATGCTGCTGCAGAATCTCGTCCAGTTTCTGCCTCTTCTTGTAATTGAAGTAGAAGTTTTTGCACTGTGACACGGTTTTTGATCCCACCATCTTGGAGATGGCGGACCAATTTCTACCATACTGGAGAAGACCTGGAACCGACAAGGGTGATGGGAATTAGTAGGCGATAAAAAAAAAAAAGAGACATGGCAAAGAAGGCTTTTATCACGATTCTGTGAAGAACAGCAGCTAAAGGAGCCAATTATAGCAAATAGATTATCTTCATCAAAAGGCAAAACCATCCCACCAAGAAGCTCAAAACACACACTGGACTAGTTTTATGTAATCCATCAGCTGCATCAAGAGCAGTTGGCTGAAACCTCCTAAACACATAGCGTAGTATGAACGATAAGGGCGCGCTGCGGTAGGTGGACCATCACTCACGCCGGACACATCAGTAACTCTTCCCTCTCAGGTCACTTTGTGTCATATTTATAACGGACTTTGATGTGACCCAATTCCAAGAAACCCAAGTCCTTTAGCCAGCCAAGCACATGATTGTGTCTTACACAAGAGTCAACAGGCACCCGCTGGGCCCGAGCTGTGATAGATCAACCTGTCAGGAAGCACACAAGCTCCCCTTACGCACACACATCAACAATCCCGCTCTATAGCAGCTAAAAGAAGAGCTATGGCGAGCAGTCACAGCGTGCAAGCCCCAGTGAGAAAGACCGTGCAGAATTTTGCTCCAGTACCCCCCCGCCCCCCCTCCTAGAGTCTGCAGCTAGCCAAAGGCAGCTCATTAACTGTGTGTGTTGTAAGAGGCTTAGTTTACACCACCCACTTGTTTCCTGTGCCAGCCTGACAGGTCTTGGCAACGGGACAGATTCTTGAAAGGTTGTCGGGGTGGGGGTGGGGGGGTGTTATTAACAGGCACAGAGCCAGTACATCTTGGGATAACCTTGGCTAAGGGGGTTCAGAGGTCCCTGCATCTCATCGCTTAATGGAGCTGGTGAGGCTAGAGGAAGCTGCATGAGAGGGAAAGGCAGATTTTTACAATTCGCTTCCACAGTCGCTGACGCTAAATGAAGCAAATCGGCAATGAGATTATGAATAACAGCTGATCTAAATGTTGGACTACTGCTTGTTTGGAATAAATAAATAAAACAAGAGTCTCCCACATTATTTTTGCTTGCTAAAAAGCGTATCTAAACTAAACAGAGATAAGCCGTCTGTTGGGGGGATCAGTTTAACATTTGAACAGCCAGCCAAAAACTCCAAAACATCGATGGACTCCAACAAGACTCGCCTGGTTTGACCTGGTTTTAACTTTTCTGTTATTTTGCTTCTAGAGCTGATGGTTTAAAGTCCCTGTCTATGTCCTTCTGAGAGTTTACGGCATGGAAAATGGTTATGCAACTCTAATAAATAACCTCTAATAGCAGGAAGTCACAAAACTTTGTTCGAGTGGATCTGGAGTCACATTCAAAGTTGAGTATAAAGAAAAATCACAGCTCAGTAAATGACGGAGTAAAAATACTTTTCAGATGGCCTTTTATGATCTTTGCATTATTTACCTTCAAGGTTCATGAAATGCTTAATGAAAAAGTTTAATGTCATGAGAAAAAATTGGTTGAAATGGTATTGCATAGACCTGAACGTTGCAAAGTGACACAGAACCTGCCCACAGGATACACAGACAACGCACTTCAGTGGGGACGTGGTTACTGAGTAAAGAAGAAACAAGATGGGATATTTTTAGTAGAAATGAGCCATTTCCAAATGCATAAAGAGACGTTCTGCATGTCTGTAGTTTATCCAGACTACAGAAGAACGAGTGAGTCGATGAGATAACAGGAAGGCTACACTTATCGCTGCTAAGTATATAATTTCGATACTATAATAAAAGTTGGCTTTTTTTAGGACATCTCTAAGTTTAAGTAAATGTCTACATTTTCCAGGACAGGGGTTTCAAACTGCGGCTCGGCTGCTGCTATCCTGCAAAACTCAGATGCATTACTTTCCCAAACACGCTTCGATCAAACGGCAGAAATAGCTTTAGCAGGGCCTCTTCAGGGCTGGATAACCCAGCTCTAGAATACAATCACAGAGCCATCTGCTGCAGGTACGGTTTCCACACTAGTCACTGCCAGCATATGACCATAAAGCCAGCTCCATAATCATTTTATATCTGTTCTAAATTAGTACAACCCTTCTCTCGCTTTTATACACCCAGTGTGACATCCCCCTACAGAATATCCTGAACTGTTTTGTTATCTTGTTACTATATTAACTTTAAAGAGAAACCAAAATCAACCAACGTAGGTGTCAAATGGTTAGATTGTAACAAAAACCAGGGATTAGAAATTGTCCTCAAGATTCTTATCGGTGCATTGCTGTACAAAACTTTATAAATCCATAAAATGTTTTTCCATTCCGTCAGCAGAGGAATTTGAATAGAGCAAAAGAAAAAAAAAAACTACTCAAAGTCAACATTTATATTGAAGCTTTTCTACGGACTGATGTTGAAAACAAGCATGTGTTCAAGCCTGAGTTTCTGATGTATATCAGCCACTTACTGAAGATTATCCTTCAGATTAAAAAGCCGTTTCTTTGCTAGCAGGCATTGCTAGAACAGCCTATAGAGCAGAAATCAAGCTAGTTTTTCTGATTCTCGCCATGAGGACCAAGACATGTGACAAACACACATGAACCTTTTTACAGCCGTCCCACAAATGGAGAAGAGGGAGGGGGATTTCATTGCCCTATAAGTACCTCGTTACCCAACATGCTCCGAGGCACCATTAGTGACCAAATATGCATATTTAACCGAGGGAGACAAACTCTGCAGCATGCATTAAAGCTAAAACACTAAGAGATGTTGATCCTACACAGAGGGAAAGACTGCTTTGCCCTGACAGCAAGCGATACATTGTTGAATTAACACACAATACAAATCAGCTCTGCTTGACTCAGAAACTTAGCTGCTGCAGGAGCACACATGGCACAAACATCCAATGAGGAGCAGGCTTACTGAAACAGGTGGTGGCTTTACACCCAATCACAACCCTCCATCTCTGTTAGCCCCTCCCAAAGAAAGTCCAATCAACACCTGGTGCGGCCAGAAAGTTGTTGTTCCTGTCTGTCACATGCCTGTGTCTGACTTCAGTCGTCTGTTTGTGGCTCAGCGCCCGAGTGACGCTTATCAGAAGCCTGGATCTTTAGAGCTCCCGCTTGGAAGCTCTTTTTGGGCTGGGCCTTCCGATCCAGAGCGGAGAAGATGAAAACAGCTCGGTCACGGCGCTCCTCCTGCCAGCTGGCTGGAAACTTGAGCCGGTGTCAGGTTGACATGCTTGGAAATGGCACATGCTCCGAGCCTACTTCTTATTTCCCTTTCTTCCTCCCAGCGCTCCGGTGAGTGCCGCTGCGCTGATCTGTGCTGCGCCTCTCCCCCAATGGCGGTCGTCTGAGAAGACTTCCACAGGAAAGTGGGACTGTGGGGCGGCGCTCTGCACTCAGCCTTTCTCTCCCTCATCTGATCTCTCCTATCTTTTTTTCCCTCCCTCCCTCCCTCCCTCCCTCTTTCCGTCAGTCTGTCCCGCCCCTTGCCTAACTCTGCCAGCAGGCACGGCAGCACGCACGCACACACTCTCCAAAACGGACGCAAACGCATGAGTGAGTACAAACTCCCTAGAACTCCCCACTCCCTCCCTCCGTCTCTCTTGTTAATACTCTTGCACACAGACACAAACACACATTCAGGCAATCCAAGAGTAAACAGAGAGCGGCAAGGGAGAGGAAAGAGATAGAGAGGGAGCCCGGCCACAGAGACAATGGAGAAAGGGAAAGGAAAGGATACAGAAGTGGAGAATAAGCTTGGAAAGAGGAGAGGGGCTCACAGGCGGGAGAGAAAGGAGTTGATGTTGATACCATGAGAAAGCAGAAAGGCTTTCACATTTTTCCTGACTGACCTGCTTTTCATCTCGAATCTGACCTCTCCAGTTTATAACAACACAGAGCGAGTGAGTGAGAGCGAGAGAGAGAGACTGGGGGGAGAGGTGTTTGCCAAATCTTCCACAGCTCTTGCCAATCTGGGCCGCTGCCATCTTCCAACGCAGAGACTGGAGCGAGAGACGGAGGACCAAGGAGCAATAAAGAAAGAGGAGATAACACAGCCTTCTCTACCTGATGTTCCTGCAAAACCCGGCAGATTCATGAATTTACATAAGCACCCACCCCAGCCTCTAAAAGCCAAATGTGACACCCAGCAGACAACATGGCCCAGGAGCACGCAAACATAACCTTAGCTTGTACATAAAGGGATGGTTTATAGTGATTCAAAACCAAGATGCATAAATCAAATAGGCCGGTTCCACCTTCACGGGCAGCTAAAGTACAAACAAACCTGGCTCCATTTCAGGAAATGTGTCAAAACTATCAATTCCTTCTATTTGCATTTAACAAACCCAACAACATGTACTCCAAAGTCATTTTATGAGTTAAAAAAAGGGGAAAAAATTAAAGTTTTGATGTATTCTCATACATACATCTATTAAAGAAGATGAGTCTCTTATGCACAATAGTCCTAAGGAAAACAAATCAATCTGCCAAAATCTCAGCCTTGCAAGTTTGAAATCAGAGCCAGCCAGGAAAAGTCTGATCCCTCCACCATCTGAGTAGAGTGGCAGAGTCATCGCTTAAGGCTAAACTGGCTGGCAACAACACAATGGAGTGCCGATGTTCTGCCAAGAACTGTAATGTCATTATTCAGATCTAGTTAGCTCAAGGGGATAAATACAATAGCATCAGGACACCTAAGCTTCTTTCAAAAAATATACGTATCAAGCTTGGAGAACTGTACAGAAACGCATAAAGGAGGGTGGTACTGTTTGGGAAATGAGGCTACCCCTTGAGGCAGGTTAGAGGATGGTCATAGGAACGGAGGAAAAACATCCAGAGCAGCTCCTTCTCGTCAGCTCGACTGAACTGTAGCTGGAGTCCTGTGTTTGCGGTTACATAAGCCCTTCATAGAAGCTCTGCTTCGGCTGAGCTGCCAGGCTAATCCTCTGGGATGGAGTGCCCCAATAATCCCACAGCAGGAGAATGGAACTGAAGACATTAACCAGGATTACTACACAGGACCGTGTTCAAGCAAGGCCAGCGGCAGTTATCGCAAAATGACCTCGTAACTCAGGAAGAAAACGCCGGGTCCCAGGAGACGCTACCTAAAGCTAAGCAGATGCAAAGTCGGTTTCATTTGTGGGCTGTAATTTATTTTCCTCCAGATTTCAAATGGAGGACATGGAGAAATAATGACAAGAAGCAGTCAGAGGCCACAATAGACGCTACGGTACACACAAACCCCCAAAATAGCTGCTGCCTTAAACAATAGAGAGCGATTCCAGACTCTAGTTCAATATTAAAAGCCCCATATGAAGGACAAAATAGCACCAAGAAATCAAGAGGCGATGAGAAGCAGAAGATTTCAGCTTGATCCCGTCCTGACCATCCAGTCTGCAACTAAAGCACTCTTTAAACTTGAACCCTAGTCCAACCGGTGAAGAAACCATCCCTAAGTGCTAACAGGTAGGGCTAATCACAATCCGCTGGTGTGGAAGACAAAGCGGGTGGATAAATACTCTACAATGGCCATTTTCTGTATTAATAAAATGTTTAAAATGAAGTCAGAGAAACCAGATAGATTAAAAAGCTATGCAAAAGGAAACTTTTTTTGTCTCCGCAAGAGAGCAAAACTTTAAACAGATAACATGAAGGCTTAATGGAGTACAAAGAATTTACCGTTTTATCTTCAAAAGGATCCACAGGTACTTTGAACAATAGACTTCATCGCAGAAATATTGATTATTGATGTAGATGCAATAGAGATTTCCCCTTAGCTTCTGCTAATGGTGCTAGCTCTAGCTAATATAGTGAACACAGTAGATCATATTTGCTCGTTTCAACAGATATCTCATGTATATCGGCTTATAAGAACTTTGAGACAGCAATGCAGCGTGGCATTGTCTCAATTTACAACAGTCAATATAATAAAAAACAACTCTGTTAATGTTAACTTTCCTGTGTTTACTCTGCACGTTTAGGTCAGTAACACCTAACCGCGTCACCAAAATGCACCAAAGGATATACAATTAATATATCGCAATTATGCCAAAGAAAGTTAAAAACCATCCACTAGACTTTGTTTCCAAGTTTGAAGACATTTTGCCTACCATCCAGGAAGCTTTTCCAATTCAAAGTGCCAGGAATAGCGTTGAGTTCTAAGTTTTATACAGTAGCCCATCAAAACCTTGTTTTTGTTTAGGAAACATGCAACTTGAAACGGACGAAGGGGCCCACCCCTTTTGAATTTTCTTTTTTTGTAATGACCATAACCTGGATCTTCACCAACATATTGCAATTATGAGTTTGTGTCATGGACTTTTTAAGTTAATAGGAGCACATGTAGGCTGTTTTCAACTACTCATAAATCCCTTTAGGTAGGGGTGTCCTGATGCAACTTTTTCATTTTTGATACGATGCCAATATTGTAGCTTTAGAATTCACCAATACAGGTATTGACCCGATATGATATCAGCATGGATCATACAGCCTTTAATTAATTACTTTGTACCTTAGAATATTAGGAAAGGCTTAATGAAGTGATATTACTGAACAATAGTCAACAACAACAGGTATGAAAACTTCTGACCAAATGGGCTACGGAAAGTTAAAACAGAAGCAGAGTTTCTATCAGCATGACAGTATTAGAGATTTTAATCAACACCTTTGTTTATAGATGTTGGAGATCGGCCTGTTTTTCAGTGTAGTCCTGTTTCTCTGTGACTGGCTGGATGACTGGCTTTTACAGTTGCTTTTTGTATCTCTGCTTCTGTTTTCTTTAACCTTGGAAAATATCCCATTCATTCGGCCTTGGCAAATGGCCTCTCACACTGAGCCTGGTTCTGCTGGAGGTTTCTTCCTGTTAAAAGGGAGTTTTTCCTCTCTACTGTCGCTACAAGCATACTTAGTGTGAGGGATTGCTGAAGAGTCAATGAGTCGATGCAATCAGCTGCTTTTCCTTAGATAGAAAACTTTGAATCAATTTGACTAGATGATCTGGTTGAACTGTAAAGAGCCTTGAGATGATATGTTGTAAATTGACGCTATAGAAATAAACTGATTTGATTTTAATGCAGGCCGATATAATCAGAAGTTAGTTTTTAGACCAATATTGGACCCATATCCGATATCGGATCAGGACAGTCCTACCTTTAAGATTTAATATCCAACCTCTTTCCTTGTTAAAACCTGAAAATGTTGGAAATCTTTTATTTCTCAAAAACAGATTACAGTTCTTTAATCCCTACAGAATATACACAGAGACTGCCGTTTGAATAATTATATCTGCAATAAATACAAAAATACTGTGAGGGGTTTCTGTGATCATTTTGTCTTCATTTTCAAAAATAATCAATTAATCTTTACTTGATTGCTTTTCTACATTAGATATAGTTATCAAAGCGAAAGTGAATTCAGCTAAAGGTTATATCTACAGGTCTCAACTTTACAAAGAAATTCTAACTGGTGCGTCTCAAGATAATAAAGACATATTTATTACACTGAGAGGGATGGAAATAGGGCTGCAACTAACGATTATTTTGCAAATCGATTAATCTTTAATTGTTCTTTTGAATAATCTATTGATAATCGGATAGCAAAAGAAGATTTTTTACAAATAAAACCAGGCGAAGCTAAAACTTTTCCACTTGAGTAGTTCTGGATAGAGCATATTGACTGTCAAAAACATTTTTTTTTTCCTAAATCCAAAATATTTACATATTTCTTTTATAATTTTGACATAAACATTGCTCTAAGTGTGTTGCTCTTGCAGCTAAAGGCATGTTTTACAGTATCTATACTCAAGTTAAAGATCAATTGGTCACTAAATTAGTTGACGATTATTTCAATAGTCATTTTAATCCAGTTGTTTCAGCCCCAGATGGAAAGTTGGTCATGCAAAAAAGCCAAGATTGAAATAATTACAAAATAGTATTAAATATTAAAAACACATTTGAAGGAAATTATAATAAAGATCCCACATGAAATAAGTAAAAGTAAAAGAGTGGTTTGCAGAAGAGCTCAGTGAATCTGTGAAGCTCAATTAATCAGTAACCGAGGTTCAAGCAATATACATATCAAATACTTTCAGATACACTCACACAGAGAGCTAGAGCCTTGCCAAACAGGCACCATGGCAGTGACCTCTGCATATCAGCCATAGGCTTTTGGGTAATCTTCAGTCAGGGACAATAAACAGCCCGGGTTAATGACTGCTGCATTTGCAGGGGCTCACTGATAAGGGACAGACTTTACAGCCTCCCTGATAAAAGAGAAGCTGCCTTGACCTACAGAGGAAGGGAAACGGCTCCAAAGAGCGGCAAACGCCTTCCAGGCAGACTGAGAAATACATGCACAGACACAACCTAGCAGCACGTGGCAGCTGCCGCCTCTCCAACAGGAAGTCACACCCGCATAAGTCGGCGATGCTTTTAAACGCTCCGCAGACCGTAACATTTGAAAACAGCGTTACAATGCACAAAAAGACTGACCAAGCTACACCCAACAAGAGAAAGAAAGTTTTATCTGCTTTACCTTTTTTGGCTGTTTCCATCTCTTCTTCAGTCCAGCGAGAGCTCTCATTCATTTCCAGATTGGCTGTCAAAAAAAAAATAGAGAAGCAGCAAGTTAGAGAAGGCGGGAGGAGGCGGGGGACCGGGCAGTTGTCATAGAGTCAGTTAGGGAGTGACTGACATTAGGAAAGGAAGCAGAGAAATGAATCGAAAAAAAAAAACAATAAAAGGATGGGAGGGAGGGGTGGTGGAGGGCAGCTTGTGCTTCTTGCCACTGCAGCTTTGGTTGCTAAGCATTATTTCTTTTTTTTTTTAGATGGAGGGAGCAGGAAATCCAAGGAGAGAAGTCAGTTAATGATTATAGACATAACAACTGGCTGCGTTCGCTGCGCGGGCCACGAGCCAGCCTGTCGGGACGGCTGGAGCCTGCACTTCTACGTCCTCTAGATGGACTCATCAAGGGTACAGTGAGCCGGTTGGCAACACTGCTGGCAGGACACCCAGCAGTAGTAGGGGGTGGGACTGAATCACCAGTCCCCACGGCCCCTTGTCACCTGGGGAATCCCTGTGATGCGGGAACGACTGCGGCATGCACACAACTGCTGAAACATCACAGATCCTCCACCAGCCTGCAGCAAGTGTTAGTGTACCAAAAAAAAAAAAATTACCATCTGAGGGGGAGAACAGGAAATCCAACACTGCTGATAAAGACTGTCATTAACGACAGGGGGGGCACTTTACAGAGATTTATTTTGAATTATGCTAACTTTGCACGTTCTGTTCGTAAATGAGTTTAGAGATAAGGGAAATAAAGAGGACAGAACAACAGTACACTCTGGTGGTTCAGGGCAGGACGCTGTAAGGGCATCTAAGGTCACTCTGCTCCATTCAGATGGCAGTTTTTATTTTAATTGTTAATCCACCAAATTTTCCTTCATCATATTAAAAATAGATATGTTTGACATCCAGTTACAGATTTTAATTTAAGGATGTTATTCAAAATGCCTTTTTTTTAGCAGTTCATGTTTACCTGAATCCATTTTTTTAAAACAGCAGTCTGTTATTTTAGTAGAAACAGCATGAAAAATGAAAGCGGACCATCTGGGACTGACCTAGCTCGTTGTTTAGCGGTGGCGTGGTGGTCTCCTCTCCCTCGCTGTTCATGGAGCGCGTGTCGCGGCCTTTGCGGCGCCCCTGACTGTTTGCTGTTCGTCTTCCCTTGAAGGCCACAGTGGGCTCCTTGTCCTCTGCATCCTCTCCAGACGTGTCATCCCTGCGTTTACCAAACAGAGCGTCAGAAATAATTCGCATTTTAAGGTTAATCATTATTCTCACAGTTCTGGGGAGATATTCACATACATGTCGATGACCCTCGTGATATTTTGAAAATTCTTACTAACATTTTGTTAGTAAAATAGATCGATACCGCGTCAATATATCAACATATAAAGATATGGCAAAATTTTGTGAACTTTCAGGGGATTTTGTAGCATAACGATGACATATAGCAATATTTCATTAGTAAAAGAGATTGATATGGTGTTTTTAAA